GGGGGAGAGCACATACAACCTTCATATAGCTTTGTGTGAAATTCAACAAAATAACAAATCTTCATGTCAGATAATCCTTAGTACTTTAAACTCGAATTGTATATTTTCTGTGATCATTCTAAGATAAGTAAAATAATTTACATAGGTTGTCATATATAAAAGATTTGCTTATATATGATTTTTTTTTCTGTTGTTAATGGGAGATACAAAAATGGAATTGCATCATAAAGAAGCTGCCATTATCTACATAAAGCAGAAGATGGCTGAATCCAATGCATGTAGGAACTCTATACCACATTCTGCCCAGCCACAGATGGCAGCACAACTGGGCATTGTGTTTGTTGTTTGAGGTCACCCGTCAAGCAGCAGCATAAGAGAGTGAACCTGATTTACAGAGGATTTCCATATATGACAAAGCAACAAAATCCAAACAATGTTTTACATACTTATACAAAAGTAAATTCATCCATTGTTCAGTATCAGAGGGGAAACAAACATTCTAAATCACTTGGAACTTTTCAAGTAATTCCTTTATTGTAGCAGAAGGTGCTGAGCAGAAGGTGCAAGTGAACCTAGACATAATCCTTCCCACCACTGCTCAGGTATGGTCATACTTACTGAAAAAAATTGTCATTGTAAAGCCAACAGTTCTACAGTAGGGCAACACTGAAAGGGTATATAAATGGAAGCTGGCCATATACACTGAAACAGTCATTATTTGAAGAACATGGTCGGAGGCTCCATGTTCTACTTGTCAAGGGACTTTTTGCTTGATCCACACTCAACTGTTAAAAGTTTCTAAATATTCCACAAACACAAGCTTGCAGGAAGCTGAAGAATCCAAGTCTTTGTGGATCTGAAATTGGAAAAAAGGTAACTAACCTCATACATAACAGCTTCTTCAATGGCTTCCTGTTGCATTGACAATAGTATTGCCTGTGGGGAATTTAACTGGAGGAGGCCCTAAAAGGACTGCAATCCATAGGTTTCAGTTGACTAGGGGCAGTGTTGCAGTCACATATTGTATGTAAAAGTTGTTTCTGTTCATTGTCACCTTGTCTTATGAAATGTATAAAACCTATCCAACACACTTGGTCAGGACAAGCAAGTATGTTTTTTCCCCAAGACATTTAAGCAGTTCCACAGTGTTGCGATGACATTGCATTTAGCTTAAAGCCTGCACCCAAAAACTAATGTGTATAAACATTTAGTGCCTTACCTGTTCTTACTCCATTTACAAATAACAGCAAATAAGTAGGTTTCTGTGTACAGGATTTATGCTGAGTACAGCATCATCACAACATTTTTTGACTTGAATATATTAGTGGATCAGATATGTGAAACATGACACGAGACATTCACTTCTTACAGAAAGGATAAAAATTGGTATATAAACACTCTAAGATATACAATTTTAAACATTCAGGGAAGTACGTTTTCATAGCAAGACTTGATGCTTACATGTAAAGATAATGCAATTTCAAGCTACCCATCATTACATGCATATTTATGTCACATTGATTCAAAATATCCATTTCCATTTTACTTTATATCTTTTACAAAACAAATGTTGCCTTGATGCAATAACAAGTCAAGTGCACTAGCTCTTTCCTTCATTTGAGCTAATATAAAATCACATGTTGAATAATGCTGTTTAAATAGAAGGAACATTTCATACAAAAGAACAAACTTAATTTTTTTATGTACATATTTTCCTTAGCAATTTTGAAAAATTTGTTGACAAGACTACCATAACTGCATAATAGTTTTAATTTTTTTTGCCCAGTGACATGAAGCAAAAACAAACATGCATGACTGTGCAAATGAGTATTTATGGGAGAAATTTCATAGTAAGATGTAATCATTCTTGTAAACACTTCTGTACGTTTGAAAAAATTTCAATAAATATTTGGACTCTTTTTATATACAAATAAACTGTTTTATTAATGAAACCCCTGCTAAAAACTGTCAAGATGCACTTTAAGGAAACACTGTATCTGACAGAGATATGTTTTACTGTTTGAAACTACTTTCTTTGAAAGAAAATTCATTTTATGCCTTTCTCTAAAGACAGAAAAAGGAATGACATCCATCACTGTTGGGTCACAAATTTCCATAGATGGATCCATAATTTGAAAAGGGGAGCATAAATAGGTTGTCAAGTTGAAAGGATAAAATGCACTTTTCATGTAGAATGGTAACAGCAATCCAATACTCAGAGATCCTTCCCATGATTTTAGTGGGAAGATTTTTTTCTGACAAACTGCTTCACTAAATTTTTTAAGTCAGCATATCTAAAACTCATACAAAACTTTATGCTATCATGCTGTATCTGTAACACACAGTGGTTCTTGCAGTGTCTGAAGAACTCCCCTTGAAGGTTCAATGAAAAGTCATGCCAGAATGTACCCACATTTGCAACAAGTCTCCAAAGTGAAAAGCCTCTATTCAATAGAACAAAGTAGATAACAGAAGTTGGTGTAGGGGATAAGTTGGCTAATTGTACAGAAAGATAACCGGATAAAAGAAAGTGAAGGATTACTACAAATCGAATTTAGTCAAACTGGATTAATGCCACAAGAGGGGTATGTCATGGCTCAGTGTTAAGATCTTTGCTCTTATCAGTGAGACAGATAAAGGAATGGTCAATAAATTATTTAAATTTGCTGAAGATATTAAGGTTTTAGGTGTTGTTGGCTTTGAGGATGGTGATGCTGCTTTAAAAAATTGATTTACTTTGGCATGTTGGATAAATAAAAGGCAAAAGGCTTTTAATTATAATACATGCATATGGGTTGTCATAATTTAAATTTTAAGTATGACTTTGACGGGAATAAGTTTAGAAGTAAGAAGAATGAAAAGGATCTTGGTGTTCTGGTTGAATAGTCTCTTATGCCATCCAAGTAATGTTGCTAGTGGTAACGAAAATAAGATTTTATGTTGTTTCTAGAGAAATACTGAATACAAGTCTAAAGATGTTATAATTACACAATACAGGTCATTGATTAGGCCACATTTGGAGAACTATTTTATGTCCTGGGCTTCTTACTTTAGGAAAAGTTATTGAATTGTTGGAAAGGGTTAATAAAAGGATAACTCAAATTATACTGGGGATATGAAGGTTGACATATAATAGCTTAAGATATCAAAAATTCAAATTGTTTTCTTTTCAAAAACAAAGAGTTAGAAGGGATCTGATTGAGCTGATTAAGAGAATTGATAGTTTGAAATCCATTGTAAACCAGTTATTTATACTTTGGATAGAAAGTTTATGACACTAATTTTTCACAAGTTCTAAGTTAAACAATGTATCATAGTACAAGTTAGTGTTCTGAAACTAAAATATTGCTATAACTTTGTATAACTATAAGAAGAGGGCTTACATTCATTACTTAATAAAAGTTTGTACTATTCAATGTTTATGCATTAAATTTTCTTTTTTATAAACTTCTGCTTTTTTTGGATTGGTGTCTATAGTAACTACAGCAAACTTTGACCTACTTATGGTGTTTGAAATGCACTGGAAAATTCAATAAACTTGAGTTAATGATTCCATATAAAGTATTAACCACTGTGTTTTGCATTTAGGCTTTTCTTTCGAAAATGTGTTTTCTATTCTCCTTTGAATTCAATTACACATCATTCTTTAAAAGAAGAGAAGCTAATTCTGCATTCTTCAACTTCTAATAATAACTTTCACTAAGTAACTTAGTAAGAAACATTTACTGATTTAGCACAAATTACACATATTACAAATACAATATTGTAAAGAAAGACTAAGACATTACATTCACAGGCCTGCCTACATACTAATACTACTGTAATTAGTTTGGTTTTTTCACTGTTAGTGTTAAGATAAATTACATGTCTTTTAGTAAAACTTTTGTAATTACAATATTAACAAAGCATATTACACTATCACAATCGTTAACTTAAAACTGAAAGTTAGTCTTTAAGTTAGCCTAAACCGAACTATGCTTGATTAATAAAATTAAAAATGATGTCATTGTGATTAAAATTATCTTCTTACCTTCGCTCTCATTATCAAACGTCAAGGCTGAAACAATAGATATAAAATACGATTAAAACTCAATATATTACTAACGAGAAACGTTGATGCACATAGATTTATTTATTAACAATTTAACAACACATCATCAAAACATTTTCATACCTTACCTTAACACTTCACGATATAAAGAGAACACAATAACTCTACGAACGCGAATTGACGAGAACGAATTTCCCTTATCATCACCAGGGGAAGAAATAAATGTAATATAACATTTTTTGTACGCCTTTTCATTTAGAGAAGAATATTATTGAAATAATACCGACATTCAATGTATTTTCATTTGAAAAAATTAGTGAAATTATTTTTTATTAAAAGACTAAAGTTAGTTTTAATACTTTTTTTTGTAACTGTCATCAGAAATGCTGTTTCTTTATTTTTATTTTTTCCATGTGTAAATATTTCCGAAAGTTTTTAACGATGGACTGTTTTATCAATAAGAAAAAGTAATTTACAACATAGCGTGTTATATAAATATTTCCTTACAGCAAAAACAAAGCTATTATTATACACTTAAAAATGCATCAAGTTAGTGTGTTACCGCTATCGAAAAAACAAAAACAAGTTAACACAACATAACATAACGTTTTGGGACAACATGGGACTTATTTGTCCATCTTGGCTGTTCCATCTTTTAAACTAAATTAAAATATTTTTTTTTGAAACTCACTTAAATTTACTGCCTCTACAACGTCCGAAGACAACCCATTCCAAAGGCCAACCACCCTGTTAGAAAAATAATACTGTCTTAGCTGAAGATGACTCTTACCCTGCCAATGTATATATGTATGTTCCCTAGTCCCACTATTCTCACTGTTAAGTATGAAAAAGATGATGCATCAACATTATCAATTCCCTTTACTGTCTTAAACCCCTCAGTCAGATCCCCTCTAATTCTTCTTTTTTAAAGATAAAACAATTTGAGAGATTTCAAACTCTCCTCATATGACAACCCATCCACCCCAAGCACCATTCTAGTAGTCCTTCTCTGAACCCTTTCCAAAAATTCAATGTCTTTCCTTAGGCAAGGAGCCCAAGACTGAACACAATATTCCAAATGTGGCCTAACCAGTGACTGGGACAATGATATTGTATTGTATTGTGTTCGATATTTCTGTAGATACAACCTAAAATCCTATTTGCCCTACCACTAGCAACAGCAAACTGCTTGGATGGCTTTAGAGACCAATCGACTATTACACCAAGATCCTTTTCCTTCATAACACTGTTAAGGTTATTGCCATCCAAATTATACTTATAATTCAAATTATGATAACCCTCATGCATTATCTTGCATTTATTATAATTAGAACCCATCTGCCATTTATTTGCCCAACTCACTAAAGCAGCATTACCATCTTCATAGTTAGCAACACCCAAGACCTTAATATCATTTGCAAATTTTAGCAATTTATTGACTATTCCTTCATCTATGTTATTGATGTAAATCAAAAAGAGCAAAGGTCTGAGCCTTGAGGTATCTCACTTGTGACATTAATCTAGTTTGACTGAACTCCATTTGTAACAACACTCTGCCTTCTTCCATCCAGCCACTCTTCTATCCAATTTGCTAACTTATCCCCCACACCTATAGAGATAACTTTTTACAAGCCTTTTATGTGGCACCTTGTCAAATGCCTTCCGAAAATCCAGATACACCAAATCTACACCCTTACCCCCCATTTACATAAGTAGTAACATTTTCAAAGAATATCAAAAGATTTGAAAGGCAAAATTTGCGCTTAGTGAAACCATGTTGACTATCCAATAAAATTCTAAACTTTGTTAAATAACTTTGCAAAGCATCTTTTAAGAGTCTTTCCAAAACTTTTTCCATAATTGATGTAAGACTAATGGGTTTATAATTACTGGGAAAATTTGTATCACATCCCTCTTGAAAAGAGGAGTTACAATAGCTAACTTTCAATCCTATGATACCTGCCCACTATTCAAGGACTGACAAAAAATAGTTGCAAGTGGCTCACATATACATTCTTCAACCTCCTTCAAAACCCTTGGGGAAATATTATCTGGCCCAGGAGCCTTATCGTTTTTCATACTTCGAAATTTTTTCTTAACCAGCTCAGAATTAATGCAGTCATCTTGTTTGATCTTGTTTTCATTTATCAACTGTTCAAGATGTGGAATACTGCTTAAATCTTCGTTAGCAAAATCGATGAAAAAAGCAAAATTTAATAACCCAGTCATCTCATAATCATCAGATACTAGTCTTTCGTTATCATCTCCCAAGGGTCCTACCCCCATCTTAACATTTTGTTTACCCTTAATGTATTTAAAGAAATTCTTACTGTTAATTTTTACATTTTCAGCCAACCTTTTCTCATACATCATATTTGATGTTATAATTTCCTGTTTCACCAACTTTCTTGATCTTCTAAATCTCCTGTCATACCAGTCAATTTAAATGTCTTAAATTTCTTATGTTTTTTTAAAATTTTATCTCTTAAACTCTTTGTGAGCCAACCTGGTTTATTTACTTGCAGCTACCCTTTTCTTTGAATAAGGAATATGTTTACCTTGAATATTTAAAAATTTATCTTTGAAGTTATATTTGAAGTTAACAATAAATCTAAAATAACATTGTTTCTAGTAGGTTCCTTGACTAATTGATGAAGAAAGCCATCCTGAACAGTTTCCAAAAACCTTTTTTTCCCTCATGGTTTAACTCTATCATTTCCCAATCTTTATGCCTGAAATTAAAAGCATCCACAGTTATGACTTCATTAACAGCTGAAATCTTAATTTCATTGTAAAGTTTGTCACTAATTTCATCAGTATCATTTTGTGGTCTGTAACAAATTTCCACTAAAATAATTTTCTCTTTATATCCACTAATATAAACCCAAATGGATTCAATCTCCTTGCTATTATCTTTGATATCATCAAATTTAAGAGGATGTAACTCACATTTTAAATATAAAGCCACTCCTCCCCCCTCTTTAATACTCTATCCCTATTAAACAGCATGTAACCCTGTGTTTCAAAGCAGAACGAAAGCTATTACAACCAAACTTAAAAAGATCTCCTAAAAATTCAATTGTCGGGCGTGTTCTTTTGGATTAATTGGTGAAAGTAGAGCAATGTCCACTCCACTCAATGATATCAAAAACATTATATTTCTTCCAATATAACTTCAAGTTCACTGATAGTCCTAATTTCACACAAAACACTAATACATCAATTTCACTTACTTGCTAACTTCTTTCGTATGTATAACACATTCTCGTATCCTTATTTTTTAGTCGAAACATAAACTCAGTTTTCACAAAACTGAAATAATTGACTAATTGATTGGCAGTACAAGACAAAGTGATTAATAAATATTTAACTGAATAATCAGTCATCACGTACTTTAGCCTATCTCACGTTTTATGCTTCTCAAATCATTTCCTAAACTTTCAAGAGGATCTAGTCATTAATCCAATCCCTACGCTCATTACATAACGTCAAATCTCCTTCTAGCGAAACAACAATATTAACATCTAAGCTAAAGAAAAAGCATGGACTCTAACACTGCTCCTTCCCTGTATCAATTACTCACATATCATGTTGTGTAAAGAAGGTTTCTACTGTGAGAGACTCATAACATTCATGTTGCTGGAATTTTATGACTACCCGCTTTTTGCATCAATCCATTTTCTTGCTTCGTCTCTGAATATAATGTTTCTGTTTGTATTACCGGATCAAATCGAGCATCGATAGCTATAGAACCAATATGAACCAAGGTGTTACAAGGTTTCTCATCAACGATCCCACTTTCCATGGCTCAGCAGGGAGTCGTACAGCTTTGTGTTTAACGTCAAATAACCAAACTTTCCTGACAATTAATTCAGAAAACAACAAATGAAAATTTAACACATTGAGCTCTCCAGTGGCTCAGTGATAAGTCTGAAGGCTTACAATGCTAAAACCAGATTTTGATACCCTTGGTGGGAACAGCACAGATAACCACCTGGCCATGCTGGGCCAACAAACAAAGAAACCCATTAATGAATTCAATTATTCGTGAACTGTTTTTTTTTTAAATAATGACTTCTCATCTGAAGTATTCTTAATTGAACTTCGTCCTTTAAATCCAGCTAATTCCGGTTTTCGGACTCCTGGTTAGCTTTTTGTTATTCCGTCGATATGTTTGGGTTACGGAACTTAGCCTCACAGCATCTTCTCCTTGGTTAATTATTATCATCTATTAAGTCATGACAGTTTCAGATGTAATATTCAAGTCTGTCTGTCTGTATATTTCTGTCATTTTATGGTGAAATTTGTCCACACAAGACCACGAGCCACATCTAGCACCTCAAGTAATTTCACCAAGACCCACACTAAGTTTGTCATGATACGAACAATAACATTTCTGCATTAGTTCAAATACTTAGATGAACGTATTTAAAATGGAAAAAATAGTCCTCCGGTACTTAGATTACTTACTGTCCAGCCCTTCATTAATCAAATATTAGACAACCCTATCCTATAATTTTGACCACCTGAGATATGTGCTAAACATATGACCCGGACATTTTGTTAAAACTGAAGTTCACATCATAAATCATCACCTACTAATAGCAAATATATCTTGAGAAATATAAAAAAAATGGCAAGTTAAAATTAATCTACGTCTGTTTGGATATATGTACTTACGTAAATCGAGTGAATTGCTTCCAGTATTAGGTTAAGTACATTTTATTTCCTCTCTCTGTCTCTAGATGGCGATATAAACGCGGTTGAAAAATTATAATTGATTGTTGTTGGGCGCAAAGCTGTAGAATTTCGAAACCCGGTTTTTAGCGGTGTGAGCCCTCAGAATTACAACAGAGTCACTGGTGGGGGTAAAATTATAATAGGATGACCGCAATGTTTTCACACGCGAACAAGAAAAATCTATCTATTACAACATTGTTAAATGTTATCTTATGGAAACAATGACCAGTATAAAAATGTAAGTACATACGTTGTTGGGCCCTTGGATCTAGTATTATTGACACCAAACCGAAAAGAAACAAAAAAAAGTTTATTCGTTTGAATTTCACGCAAAGCAACACGAGAGCTATCTGCGTTAGACGTCCCTAATTCAGCAGTGAAGACTAGAGGGAAGGTAGCCAGTCATCATCTCTCACCGCCAACTCTTGGGCTACTCTATTACAAACATTATAACGCCCCCAC